GGACCAGAACCCAGTCCCTGGACCAGAACCCAGTCTCTGACAGTCCCTGGACCAGAACCCAGTCCCTGACAGTCCCTGGACCAGAACCCATTCCCTGGACCAGAACCCAGTCTCTGACAGTCCCTGAACCAGGACCCAGTCCCTGAACCAGAACCCAGTCCCTGGACCAGAACCCAATCTCTGACAGTCCCTGAACCAGGACCCAGTCCTTGGACCAGAACCCAGTCCCTGGACCAGAACCCAGTCTCTGACAGTCCCTGGACCAGAACCCAGTCTCTGACAGTCCCTGAACCAGGACCCAGTCCCTGGACCAGAACCCAATCTCTGACAGTCCCTGAACCAGAACCCAGTCTCTGACAGTCCCTGAACCAGGACCCAGTCCCTGGACCAGAACCCAGTCTCTGACAGTCCCTGGACCAGATCCAGGAACAGGACAGTGTATTTGAGGACGTCCCTCTGTACGTCAGAGGACCTTCAGGTCCAGTTCTGCTGGACTCCGGTCCTTGTACTGGTTCTGTTGTGCTTCAGGACGTGTCTTTAATAACAGGAAGTGTAGTCCTGCTGAGGGACACATCAGAGACCTGCAGGACTGAGCAGGTCAGGTAAACCGGAAGTCCCTCAGACTCAGGACCACCTCAGACCCTCCAGCAGCTCTGGACTCTTCTGAACTCCCTGTAGAACCAGAAGCTGAGGTTCTGTTGTTCTGGACCTTCAGAACAGAAGGCGGGTTTTTGTGTGTGTGTGTATGTGTATGTGTGTGTCTGTGTGTGTGTGTGTGTGTGTGTGTGTGTGTGTGTGTCTGTGTTTTCCGAGCTTTGGACGCGGCAGTGAACGCGTCCTGCCCTTTGACCCCTCCGGTTACCGACAGCTGCCTCCTCCGGTCACCGCTCGGTTATCGGTCAGGACTGAGACGGGCAGCCCGCGGACCGCCCGGTGGGTCCACCTGTCCCGGTTTAACGGCTCCGGGACTGCAGCGGGTTAGCATCAGCGAGCTAACGGCTAACGAAGCGGACATGGAGGACTTCCTGCGGAGCTGCCGGCGGGTCGTGAAGGTACCGGAAGTTCCTGTGGAGTTTAAACAGTCCGTTAACAGAGCTCACAGCTGCTTTTAACGGTTTAATCTCCACCAGGATTTATTTAAATCACGCGGCGGCAAGTTGGCTTCACGTCCACATGTCTTAACTTCCGGTCACACAAAGATTTCAAAGTAAATTTCCTGTCTTACGCTGTTAACCTTTCAAATTAAAAGTCTAGTCCCGAGTTCCAGGAAAAACAGGAACTATTTCAGAAACCGTGAAAGACTGTGTCAGTCCAGGGTTTGTTTTTCTGTTGGAGTCTAAATGTTAAAGAATAAAGCCAATGATTTTTATAAAGAAAACTAAAATAATAAATAAATACATTAAAAAATTCATTTATAAAAGTTTAAAACATCCAGAGTTTTAACAGCTGGAGATCTGAAGAAGATTTGATTGAAGCTTTAAATTGTATCAGTTCAGATCAGAACAGACAATTCATTTTATATCAAACTTATTTCTGGAGTTAAAACATAAAAACAAAGAATAATGTTGTGGTCAGACACCAGAGCTACGGTTGGTGTTTGAACTGGAGATGTTGACTGGAACCACTGGAACCACTGGAAACCACTGAGACATCAAAGTTCTCTGTTAAAAACCTGCTGCAGGTTCTGAGGGGTCCTGCTGCAGGTTCGGAGGGGTCCTGCTGCAGGTTCGGAGGGGTCCTGCTGCAGGTTCTGAGGGGTCCTGCTGCAGGTTCTGAGGGGTCCTGCTGCAGGTTCTGAGGGGTCCTGCTGCAGGTTCTGAGGGGTCCTGCTGCAGGTTCTGAGGGGTCCTGCTGCAGGTTCTGAGGGGTCCTGCTGCAGGTTCTGAGGGGTCCTGTTTCTCCAGGTGGGTTTTTGTTAACGACTCATCAGACAGGTCACTGTTTCTTTCTGGTCCTTGTTGGTTCTCCAGGAAGACCTGGGTCCAGCTGGTCCAGGGATCCATGTTGTTCTTGGGAATGAGGCCTGTGATCTGGACTCCATGGTGTCCTCTCTGGTCTTCGCCTACTTCCTGTCTAAGGTAGGAAGCTGTTCGTTGGCTACCAGTACTCCTGGGTGGTCTGGTGGTCTGACACCTGTCTGTCTACCTGTCAGAGCGCAGGTGGTGAGACGCTCGCTGTGCCGCTGCTCAACATCCACCAATCAGAGCTGGTTCTGCGTTCAGACAACATCTACCTGCTGCAGCAGACCGGTCTGTCTGCAGACCAGCTCCTGTTCAGGGACCAGGTGGACCTCAGGGCTCTGCACGCAGCCGGGCGCCTGCAGCTGACGCTGGTGGATCACAACGTCCTGCCCAGGTGAGACACCCAACAGGTGACAGCACCTGAAAGTAAGGCCACACCCACAGTCCTGCCCAGGTGAGACACCCAACAGGTGACAGCACCTGAAAGTA